ATTACACATTTAAATTCAGTTACAAAGAATATATTAAGGACACGAGAATAATGTTTAATTCAATTGCAACATGTGCTTTTAATTGCAGTTTAATTTGCAATTAAAAGTACATGTGTAAATGTATATGCATCATATGATACATATATTAATATTTTCATATTAATTTCTCGTTCTCAAGATACTTCCTTAGTACATTTGAATATCTACGAAAAGTATATATAAACAAATCTTCGGCAACATTAGCAGATTTATTTGAAAATAATTGATTTCACAATTGTTGTAAAAAAATTCAAAAATATGCAAAATTATGCGATTTAATTATACAGGTCATTGCAGAAACAGCATGAGTCAACTTTTCTATGGATGAATCAGAAATGTTGTTAAATAACGACACATTTATTCATATTAAAATACTTCTTATATTTGAAAAATAATCAGTAATATTTACATATTGCATATTTTATTTATAATACTTTTTGCAGATTTATTTAGCAACTAATTGGTAGTTTTTACTTGCATCAAATTTTTTCTTTTCTTTTGTATGTTAACAATATTTAGCAAATAAAAGATCTTAACGATTCAAAAAATTAATGTAATATTATAATTAATGTAAAATTAATGTAATATTATTTATCCAGTATATCACTTCTTTTTCCTAACGTATTTGTTGGAGCGATTAACCGCTGTTCTCCTTTTAATTTCCCTTATAATTTGCAACATACAGGCACATATACCCTCAATCCTCAATCGATCTAATTTTCTTTTCGACGTAAATTATTCAACGGTTTCAGAAAGAATTTTTTCTTTTCCCTTACCTTACGAAGACTCTGCTGTATCTCCCACGTGATCAAGACTCGCGGGCTGCTGCGAGCGCGACACTGTTTTTCCTCGATATTACTTCACTATGAGATTACTTCACTATGATACGTTATCGACGCACACTCGCGTGAATCATGCGGCTCAAAGCGTCGAGCATTGACTACGTCTCACAAGGAAGAAACTTGGAGAATCGAGTCCAAAAGAGAGACGCGAGTCACGAGAAGACTGACGAGAGAAGTCGCTCTTTCGTCACCGGCGCCGTTATCGCGATTAAGCGACTTTAATGTCGGTTCCTTTTCAGAGATGGGCCGCTCTCGCGTGTACTCGATCGGTCGTCGACCCCCTCTTAGGAATCCCCTCTCAAGCTTCTCGGTAGATTCTTTGGATCTTCTCTCCGACTCACTATTCGCGAGAAATATTTCGCGGAAATTTTCCGGTCATGATCTGCCGACGAACTGCCTGAAAAAACGACGCATTACAAGTAGATATACGTATGTTATCTTTTTGACGACACGAGGTGCAACAAACGGAATATCCCCCTTCTTTCCCACTGTAATGTTATATAAGACTTGCATTTTTATCTACTATTTTTCTTGCGGGCAAATAAAAAAAACATGATTCTCACGCAGGTTTCAAAGGTCAAGCAGAAAAACTTGCGTTACACAATATAAAAAAAAAATCATTGTTAACTTATTCTTCTCAAGTAGGATAGTTTAAAAAATTTTAATCCATCATATAATTTAATCCATCATTATAATAATGAATTTGGTAATTATTTTCTTCATATGGAAGAAAATCTCTTTGCAAATTTCTAATGATGCGAGATGTGCGAGTTACGTGCTGCAATGTGCGATGCAATACACGCGAATTAAGATGTCGATAAGGCACTAAACGCCACGTCGATGAATACTAAATGATTGATTAACAAGCTGAACGATACGAACAAAGAAAAATGTAGTCACACGTTGACAGTAGCACCGGTACTGAAAGAAACTGAAACCTATGGAAAGCAGCTATGACACTCGCTTTCTTTGGACGACTACGGATTGTTCATACATATCTACGTGTACGTGTACTTTGTTTTATCTCCCCTCTTCTAGAACATTAGTCATTACGGCACCAAGGTTTCGCAGACAAGACCTTGCAGTGGTTTATAGACTAACCATATTCCGATCGAAACGCGTCACTCTATAACACTTTCAGATTTTCCCATTCCCAGCAAAATAAATAATTTTATCTCGCAAATAAATTATAAACCAAAGATAATATCACTTCATGATGATAATTAATTTCTACTCTTTTATTCTGTTTGTAAACAAGATTCCAATTAATTAATAATCTATCAAAATATATTTTCTAGGAAATTTCTAATTTTTGTTTTATGAAAAAATAATATGTAAAAAGTTAAAAGTTTTTCTCCTGAGAAATTTATAATGCGATTTAACAAAGAAGTTAAATCCCACTAACAAATCGGTGATTGATTCAAACGATAATTGATCGCAGATGATGAACGGGATGATTGACAAGGTCCTCTTGCGTAAGAGTTACGTCGATCAACGTGAAATACAAACTGCTGCTCTGATATCGCAACTCCTTTCATTGACACACCTGTGGCGATGCGCTATAAAGAGGCAATGGCGTAGACGTCGATGTTGCAAAGTTACGACGCACCTTCACGGTTCGCTGCCTTGACCCTGCGGATTTCTTCTGCTGCAAGATTAAGATTACCTTGGACGTTTCTCGGTGTGAATTTCCAGCGTCTTGCTGTCAATCTTCAAAATACACATGTCGAATGTCGTGAAATCTTTGAAGATAAACATCGACAACCTATGACGTTATGTTGCTTAAACAGAGCTGAATATCTCGTCGTAGAAAGCCTCTGTACATCTCATAAAAAAATGATAAATTTATGATAATGTATTATTATATTATTGAATTCAACGTTGTAGAAAAATCTGCATTTGCAACTTTGAATCCGTCTCTGAGAGATCTGAGAGATTTGAAAGATAAAGATATAAAATTAATAAAAATCTTCCTCTTTCATTTTTATATTTATTAATTTTTAATTATTCAGTTTTTAGATATCGTTACTGTATCAAATTCATTTAATTATATTATTAAATTTAATTATATTTAATTATATTATTTCTGAAACAATATATAATAGCGATTGTCAGCGGTTTAATCATTACTTTACAAAGGTTAACCGCAATCGTCGTATCTCTTGAGTATGGACCACCTTGAGAATGCTTACTATTTCTATCCGGCCGTGCTTGACCTACACTCGGATGTACCGCGTCTCACGTGTTTCCTTTCCCTCCCCCTTGTTCCCTCATATCTCGCTATTTCTCATTGTTTTCCACATACGAGAGAATTTTATTGTCGCGCATAACTGTAAATCGTCGTTTTAACGCGATTAAAAATCCGCGACGCGTCTCATCGTATCGTTCGGAGCATCGCGCTGCATCGTTTCCTGGGAATGATATCGGATTATGGAATCTTCGGTATTAAAGGATGCTCCTCGCGGATCGTTAGCACGCACGGTGAATTCACTTTATCGCGACCTCACAGTCACGGCGACGTTCGGTTTTCATTCGTGCATGCAAATGCGGATGATCGCTGAACTATGTAAGTAAAACTCGCATTCCACGCTTGGAATGCTCGAATAAGACGTGCAACGTGTACCTCGAGTCTGAGTATGAGTAATCTGCGTGAGCAATTTGCTAAATCTTTTTTGATAAAAGTTTAATAAAGCGCTGATATCAGCAATAACGGGAAAGAGCTGATTAATATTCATGGCGGTGTCAAATTCTCATAAGATCTATTAACTTTTTAATATTCAAATCAAATACCGTTATTTAAGAATACTAACATATCTCGTAATTACATTTTCACCGGCAGCGTGGGATATTCGAGCAATTTTAATAATTTTTTTTCACGAGAATCAGTCGCAAGATATAGTACGAGGCTCTTTTAACTTCATTTCATTCCTCGATCAAAGTTAAAGATATAACTTATGATTAAATAGACAAAGCATTTGCCAATTAATTACGACTTATTTTTCTCTTTTTTCTCAAACAAAAATAGATTCAAATTTATTTCCTCCTTTTAGGGAAAATTTCAAAGATGAAGACTGAACTACAAGTTATATTGCTACATCAGAATGAATAATACAAAGACGCAATTAATTTATTCTATTAATAAATTTGTATAATTTTATTTCTATCTAAAAATCACGTATCGTTCAGGTCAATTGCCTCCGTGAGGTCCTCCGCGATGATGAAGTTCGCTACCGCCGTTCCGGTTGAGCAACCACGAAAGTTGCTTGTCCCGGTTTTCGCAGTTTTTCACATTCGCTTCGAAATTACCTGGATGATTGTGTCCAGATTAACCGGCGGTATCAACCGCAGAACCTAAGCGATCCATCAGCCCGCGGCGCGAGAAGCGCCTGCGGGCACATCTTGCTTTCACTTGACTGGTCTCGCGCGCCGAGCCACGTGCATTGGAGAACCGCACGCAGCATGGATGCACGTCGAGCCGATATACCGAGCTGATATATCTGGGAAGAGGAAAAAGGAGGGACTGGTCAATGTTTTCGCGTACGCAATCCGATTGGACCGATAGATAGTTTCGCGAGATCGCGAGATCGCGTCTCGTTAAATTAGTATCGCCCGTCCGCGATCAAGACCCCCTGGTGTTATGGCGCCCCTCGAGCTTGGCACCCAAGTACAACCTGCCTTGTCCTCGTCGTGACTCGCCGATGACGCAACGCATAAATACACGCCACGGGGGAATCGAACCGGTGGCTACTTCTACCTCTACTTCTTCTTCTTCTTCTTCTTCTTCTTCTTCTTCGAGGAGAGCAGTCTTTGAGGAACGGTGATCCCGGAGGCAGCTCCTTGATCAGTACGGCTCCGAGATCGTTATCGTGAGAAGTGGATGAATCTCGGACTGCCAGGTTTCGTGGCGATCGAGTCGAAAAGGAGGAGGCAGCGTATCAGGGAGAAGGAGGAAGGAGAAACACAACGGGCAGATCTTGGAGACGCCGTCGGGTCCTGCCGTCAGACCTGTTTTATCCTCCGATCAACTTAGAGAACTTCTCGCGAGGACTAAATTGCTGCTAAATTTCTCCGGCACGCCTTCAGGACTTCTGGTTCGCGATGTGGCGGTTGTCGATAGTGATCAGTATGATTGCGATCGCGAGGGCTGGACCGTACGATAGGACAACGGACGCGGTGAATGACAGAACGCTGTTCATCAGGAGTTTGCCGGGTTATCCTGGGACTAGAAGCGATCTATACGAGGTTTATATGGAACCATATTATTTCGTACGTAATTGTTTTTTTTATTAACAATATAATATGATGAATACGCTAATGATATGATAAATTTTATAATATTATATGTAACGATAATTATTGGAAAACCCATTTTTTGTTTATATTTTTTTTATTTTACATGCAACAATATAATTTTATTTAATTTGCAGAGAAATTTATTATTTTCACATAATTATGATGATTAGAATTTGATATTAATTACTACTTCTATGGATCACTAAAATTTTGATAAATTTGTTTAATATAATTTAATTCCTATAAA